GGAGGAGGCAGATAAAATTATCTGCCTCCATTGGAATGCCTTGATGCATGTAAGCAGCTGCCAAATCCAGTGACGGAAGTCATGAAAGCATGCATGCCATTGATCCATCAGGCTCTCCCGTGTTTTCTCAACAGCGGATCTCAAAGCTGGGGTGGAATAATCTGCAGAATGTCAGCATGGCGGCCAAAACCAGGAGGTCCAGGCAAGCTGGGAAGGTTATGCATGAACGACAAAGGTGGTCTTTTGCCTGACCAAATGACATTGTATTGGCTGGGTTATCAAAGTTTGTCTGGCTCGGATTGCTGATGCTACAGTTGGCCTGTTTTTTTCCAAAACACGCCACATACCGAAGGGGAATTCAATAAAAAAATGAATGTATCTGCTGATAGTGTTGTTCACTTGCTTGCACTCGCTGTCAAAAAATGCCACCTGTTATAAGTTAAAAACGTAAGTTCAGTTGCTGTCTTGAAATTTAAATTGGCAGTAAGTTGAATTTTGTTTAACTTGTAAAAAAAAAAAAAGAGTATGTTGCCATGACTTACTGAGCATATCGTTTTTTACAGTGATGTTTTTTTAAACTCTAGACAACATTGATAAACCAATCATTACTTTTATGTTATGAACTCTATATAGTTTCACAGTTAAATCTTTGCCATAATCTATATTTTTCCCTAAGTTGGTGAGATATGATGGCAAATATTTTGTTTGTGCTGAAATGCTTTACTAAAGTGGTGCAACTGCATGTGTTCAGTCAGGTCCTGTAAAGACATTGTGGAAGAAAGGCTGCGACCGAAAGCTTAAAAATGCTGCCAGAGGAAACATTCCAAGGTCAGGAGGCATCAAGGCACGTCCGAAACCAAAGTTAGCTTCACTTCCTGATCGATCCCTTCATCTGATTGATTTTTGAAGGAAAAAGATGTATCATTCGCTGCCTTTGGTATCCCACAATCCTATGCATATCATTCCGTGACAGTTGAGCTAAAAACAGAAATGTTTTCCACTTTTGATGTCATTTCTAGCAGGAAAGTACTACTGTAGTCGTTAAATATTTGCTTAGTCATCACCAAAGCTCTCTCTCTCTTAGATAGTTGTCCAAAATCTGTCCGAGATCAGTTTTGTGAGGTACCTTTGTGTGCATGTGCACAAACACTGCCTGATAAGACAGCGAGGCAATAATAAGTCAGATATGCTTTTGGACGCAGTGATATAGAGTTACTAATAGTATAACTAATAGATAATTATTTCCTCATAGAGAAGGCCAGGAAGAAGTTTGGGTCATGAACTTGCTGAGAAAATATATATATATATGTATATATATATATATATATATATATATATATATATATGTTTTATAAGTAGTGTATATTTGACATAAGTGCATAATATATAACTCCGAGCGTGGAGTTCATAGGCACTACTGGAGTGTTTGGGTGTTACGTTTTCTCTCTTGAGTTTTATAACCTTGTTAAACTTTATCCTTTTCTCCATCTAAAAGGCAAAAAAATATCTTCCTAAAACATTGTTTTTTTTCTTGATCACTCATGCTTACATCTTTAATTCGTTTTCCAATACGTGGTATCCTGCTATATAATAGAATTGAACAGGCATCTGTCAAGGAAATATAAGATTGCGTTGGAAAAATGTTAAACATCGGTCAAGGTTTCCTTGCCAGAACCGATAACAAGCCAACAAAAATGTTAAGCCTGAAACACGGAGATGGAGGGAAAGGGAGAGATTAAGGTTTAGGAAACGCACTCTCCGCTCAAAGCCGCAGGAACTCTATAAAAGTGAGAGCGTGTAAAGACTCTGGAGTAGCGAGTGTCCATTGGCCAATGTTAATGTAGACGTGTTTTTGTCAACTTTCCCAAAGTATCATTGTGAAATCTGCACAGGCTAATGGACGGGCAATTAAAGTTGTATTCAATTAGCTCCACGGGTTAAAACTACCCTCCAATCCAAGCGAGCAGGTGTTTCTGCTTATATGTGGAAACAAAACACGTCTCTGTAAGACTATGTGATACTGTACAATCTGATCTAGTTTGACAGTATGCCACAATCTAGGGCCACGTACTGCAACAACCAAAACTTAATCCTACAAACAAGTCATGTTTCTGCTTAGACACTTCTACAAAGTTTCATGCTTTAAAAAATAATTTCAATAATTCAACGGCCTGGAGTCAATTATTCTGCTTCTACTACGGTTACCACACCTCAAAACATTGTTCAAATGATGTATTTATTTTTTGTCCTTAAAAAACTCTTGTGTGTAGGACTAATTTCTTATGCATTTAATTCCCAAGCTTCCATTGCTAATTCCAAAACATAATTTTAGGCTTCAGCCACTGATAACAAAGTAACTTAAAAAATGTAATTAATTTCAAAACTGACTTGAATGAGTTGAACAGACGAGAGAGAGAGAGAGAGAGAGAGAGAGAGAGAGAGAGAGAGAGAGAGAGAGAGAGAGAGAGAGAGAGAGAGAGAGAGATTTAGCGTGTGTGACTTACCTGAGTCTGTGCGTATCAATAGTATTCGGCAGCAGCGTCCATAGGTGTTGTTGTCACTGTCATTGCTGTCAAAGTTGTTAAACTATTTTACTGATAAAATCGTGAGAGCAGTGCTGACAACACATTTCTGTGTGAGTGTGTGTCTGTACTGTATGTGTGTGCGTTTAAGCATGTGAGAGAGCGGGAGAAACCGAGCTTGTGCTTTCCGTACATAATAAAGCATAATTTAGTGGCAAAAACATGTACATAATTTGTCATTTTAATCCTATTGTTTATTATATTCATTTGTTTGGTCAGTGTCGTTGTGGGTGTTGTTTCTTTTGCTGTTGTAGTCTGGAAAGACCTTTGAAATAACGGAAATCATTTGGCGAAGTGATATGTAACTGTAATGCGGTCAAGACCTGCCTGGAACTACTTTAGAATGCTTTTCAACCAATCAGATTCAAGCATTCAACAGCTGTTCCACGCTGCGCTCGTTGTTCTGTCTTCTGGTTTGTATTTCCACAGCATGAAAAGATCTTACGGATATATGAATAAACCACTTGTTTTGAAATCTTCCCGGTCTCCTGCAATTTTTTTGTCATCCGCTTCAAACATTACAAAGCTCATGATAACTTTCGTTAACTCTACAATAAGTAAATCCACTTCACCAGCGATGCCATAGAAATATAAAGGAATATAAAGAGCTACCGTAACTAAATTTTAAAGATGGCTGCAAGTGCGCTTTCTCTGGCGCATACAGTTTTATTATTGTCATGAAGCATCATCATCAACAACAAAGCTATATGTGGATCAATTTTGGTCTAATGAGCAGTAGCCTAACATAGAAATTGTCATTGTCATCTTGTATGTTCTGATTGTTTGTTCTCACAATTCTCAGCATTTTTCCTTTAAGTTTGGACAGACAAATCATTTTTAGTGAAAACATTGTGCCTGTCTCACTAGCAAAATTACTTTTTAAAAAAAAAAAAATATTTATACCTTGAATAGAAAATGCCTGCAAAGAAAATCACTTGAAACTTTTTTCTGGGTCGTTTTTGTTTATTTTGAATATCTGCTGCATTGTAAAAATCTTAGTTTAAAGTTTCCATTTATATACAAAAGAAAAAAAATAAAGAAAGTGCAGACATAAACTATCTGTGCTATGGTTGTTGAATAAAATTGAAATGCCATGTTCAAATAGAATTATAGACCTTTCTATATTTGTACAAAATGTTTTGAAACCATTGTTTTGTTTCTAAATGGTTTACATCACAATATGCGACATGCTGTTACTTTGGGGAGTAACCTTGAACTGGATAATCAAAAAAGAAAAAATATATAATACACATGTTTATTATCCCTTTAGTTAAAGCACTTTAAAAGCAATAGCAACATTTTTCTTTTGTAAAACATGTAAACTATTTACTTCGTATTGAACTACGTGACATTTAGCTCAAAAACAACACATTTTATATAACAACTAGACATTTAATCAAGTTTCATTAATGATTATAAAAAATACCTAAAAATGTACTTCTGTTGTGCAGCTATTAATGTGAGAACAAAACCATCAACCAGTTTAAATGCCTCTGGTGAGTAGTGGTGTATTTCCACCAGCAACATTCACAAATCTAAAGATATAGTCTCTGCACTAGTGTATAATATAATGAAATAAGTGTTGCTTGCAATTAAATGTATTCCATCAGAATACACTAATAAAATCTACTGAATGGGAGTCAGTGGAGAAAGATGTTTTTAGCAGCCAGATGGTGTAGTTATGACATCTACCAGCAGGGGCTGACTGAGCATTGCTAACCAGACTAATGTCTTAGCAGTGCAGCCCTCAGCTAGTTTTGAAGAAGACACCTGCATTTGATGAGGGAAGCCGAGGTGTTTTATTAGCACATTGACACAGGTTTGTGTTAACAAAGAAGTACAAGATGTAAAGGCAACAGTGTTTGTTTGTTCCGAATCCTCTGTCACCCTCCAGATGTTAATAATGATCTCTACATGTCAGGGTTGTGCAAAATTCAAAGTGGAAGAAACCAGTTTGGAGTGTGGATTTGAATCGAATTGGCCACAATTCACAGGAAGTTGAAATGCAGTGACAGGAAGATGAATTTGCTGAATTGCAATTCATAGAAATTCATCACAAGTGATGCATTCTGGGTTTTTCCACACTGGATCACTAATGTTATTCTATCTATCTATCTATCTATCTATCTATCTATCTATCTATCTATCTATCTATCTATCTATCTATCTATCTATCTATCTATCTATCTATCTATCTATCTATCTATCTATCTATCTATCTATCTATCTATCCATCCATCCATCCATCTATCTGTGGATCTAATAACTGTGAATAAAGTGTAAAATAATATGTAAATATTGCCAGAAATTGCTTTGAAATTAAAGTTCCAATAATATTACTTAATAGTGATGTCATTTCCTGCAATGAGCATACATTTTAGAAATGTAAGACTGGATTGATACAGTTTTTTGACTGTAACATTTTTGTTTCAGGTAATTTTCTTAAATATCCTTAAAGGTTACTGGAATATAGCATGTTAAAAGTTCAACCTTTAAATATCACTTCTTTTAAAGCTCCCTCTCAAAACTTTCAAACAAAGCTTAGTCAATCCAGTAATCAAAGTTTGTCTTGCCAACATTTGCTTATCTGGTTAAAATGACAGGTTTTTGGACTTCTTTTGAATTCCAGTTCATTTTAATTATACTTCCTTACATTAACCTTCAAATTGCAATTCTGCACCCTGTTTGCTACCATAATTCTAATTCAAGAATTGAACTGGAATTTAAAAGACAATCTCAATGCAATTCTGAATGGTGCACAACCCTGTTCCCTGTTTCTAAAGCTGATCCACAAACGGAAGTCGTACTCTTGATTTTGGCAATAAAATAAAACTCTTGTCAAAGAAAGTCTGGAAGTCATGAAGAAGACCAGAAAGGTTCTTCATATCTCGCTACCTGCAACCACAGCTCTCCACCACCATGTCCTCGTACTGCTTGTACACCACATTATTGGCGGAATCGATGTACAGAATGCTGATGGGGCTGAGTCTGGTGGGGACGCAGCAGGTCGGTGGCGTGGACCTGGGATCCATGGAGTTCATGAGAGTCTGGATGATGGCGTGATTGGTAGGCTCCAAATGGGAGCGTATGGGAAAGTCGCAGACACCGTCGCAGTGGAAGGCCTCGTACTCCAGTGGAGCGATGATCCAGTCGTCCCAGCCCATTTCCTTAAAGTTGACGTGCAACTGCTTGCGGTTGCAGCGCTGTTTGGTTTGGTTCTTGGGTGGCTTTTTCCCACGAGGCAACGGTGCCCGACGCATCCGTCGCTGGGTGAAGAGGTACTCGTACACCGTCTTGTTGTCGTGACCTGAACGGGCTTTGATCTCGTTGTAAAAGAGCCCTCGCTTTTTTGTACGCCCGAACACCACAAAGAAGGCTTTCTCCTTGGTCTGCCTTCCCGCTCGGCCCAGGCCGAGTAATCGCAAGTCAAGCGGTCGTCCTTGATCTACGGCTTCCAGCTCAAAGCAAAGCTGAGGAGCGTTTCTGAAGTCTTTGAACCGTTTCCAGATGTCAAACACTTCCCAGTAAGGGGCGCTGTGAGGGTCGATGCGAAGACTGTGCACCAGTAGACCTCTGTGCTTACCTGACGCGCAGGTGTACAGTCTCAGAGCTACCATGCCCTCAAACGCGGCCTTACGAGAGTCCATGTGTTTCTTTCGGAGGATGCGCAGCTCTGCGCCCAACAGACCCTCCTTCTCCATCGAGCTGATGTTGAAGAGGTAGCGCTGGCGTCTCAGCAGGGGCGCTCGCTCGTCTGCAAAAGTTAAGGTCATAGGTCAATGAAAATAGCCTTTGCATTGCTTTATTAGTTGCAGTTTATCTTGATTACATCCACATTAAGAGCCAAACACATACCGTTTTAACATGTACCATGGTAATTCCATGTTTTTGGACATTTATCATGTTAATACCATGTTTTTGCAAATGGTGTCAGAGTGATACATTTTTTATTTGGACATACCGAGGTTTTTTTTTACATTTACTGTATGATTTACCATCGTAATACCATGATTTTTGCACATGACAATCAAAGTAATAATGCTTTTGTGGAAATATTTAATGGTAATAGCATGGAGAATTGGACCTGAATTGTGGAAGATATTTATTTATAAAGTAGTAAAATGATCAATCACTTTGTGCTTTTCTAAGAGCACCACAGTTAAGCTTCTCCACTATCAAAGCTCACATATTGTGATTGATTGTGTGTGTGTGTGTGTGTGTGTGTGTGTGTGTGTGTGTGTGTGTGTGTGTGTGTGTGTGTGTGTGTGTGTATGTGTGTGTGTGTGTGAGAAAGATATATATAGCCTATATATATAGATATATAGGGAGAGCGAGCTCACTTTCTCTCTGCATGCAATGCAATATGAAGGCAGTGCATTATAAAAATCAAAAGGTTTCATTTTATCCAAGAACAGTTTGCTTTCAAAAAACTATTGAAACCAGACGAACTCGGCCTGGAGATCACAACATACTGTAAACACAGCATTATTATCAACCTGCAGCTATTTACCAGTGTGCCTACCACCGTGACATATGGCTTTCACTAACATAGGCTGAAAAAAACATCTGAAGCACATGGAGAGAGGGGCAGAGAGAGTGCAACTGATTAGTGCTGTGTGTGTGTGTGCGTGTGTGTGGCGGCGTAAATTACACTGATGTAGAAGGACATGATGTGCTGTGGCTTTTTAAACTTAGAGAAATAGTTAATCCAGAACTGGAATTTCTGCCACAATTAACTCACCTTCATGTCGATCCAAACCTGTATGACTTTTTTTCTTCACAAAAGGAGATGTTTAGCAGAATGTTCCAGGCTGCTCTTTTCCATACAATGAAAGTGAACGGAGACCTAAAAATCTCCTTTTGTGCTCCACAGAAGAAGTCTTACAGGTTTAAAACAACATGAGTAAATGATCTTTTTTAGGGAAACTTTCCCTGTAGGTGAGAAAGGAAGAGAGATGCATGCATTTCTTGCTCGAAGTCTACAGAGGATGTGGTAACTATAAATCTGCAAAGGGTATTTCACAGAGCATAAACTAAAACCATTTAAAGCTTCTGAGGAGTCAACCTTGCAGCTACAGAAAGCAGGGCCATTTAAATGCTGTTTTAAACAGATTTACTTAGAAAAAATAAAAACATATGAGGCCACCTACTTGTAACCGGCCCAGGAGTTTATTTACTTTAAGCAGAGGTCCATCAAAAGTCTTATGCCAGATGCATATTGACACAGTTGGTTTGGGTCAGAGACCCAGATAAAAAAAAAAAACGAAAAGAAAAAAATGTATTGTGTTTAGTGTGTAGTGCAATACTAAGCAGAAATAAGATGTTTTAAAAATGTATATCCATGACTTTTCTTTTGTATAAACAGAAAAGGACAATTTAGCGTTATGAAGACTTATGATGGGTAGTTGATGTGACATTTCAAGCAGTCCCAGCAGAATCCTGACATTTGACAGGCTACAATTCATCTAAATCAAACATTTTCCTTTTGTGCCATTATTGTACATGCACTTTTTATTAGTTCATATTAATCTAAATGGGATATTTATTCTGAAAAAAATGGCGACCTTTAATATACACATTCCTTTATGCATTCTAATAACTTTTAACAATCTTGACCGGGGCTGGTTGTCACGTTTTTTTTCTTTTTTTTTTTTTCTTTTTTTTTTCTGTAGACACACATTAAAAGTGTTGACTACAAAAAAGCTGAAATATTTCACCATTTGTCACCATTTTATATGTATAATTACATTGACTCTAATAGCAGGCCATGTCGTCACAGTATATGGGGTAAGTTGTCACATTTGGAACCTACTAGGCTGCTATAAAATAACTAATTATGGGCTTTTCAGCTCATTTTAAATAGTTAAATTAGTATGAAAAAAAAATCATGAAACCACATGAATAAAAACATTGTTTTGGGTCACTTTAATTGTAATTAATAAAACAGAAAAGTAACAACCTTCTCCAATAAAACAATGTGACTTAGCTATAGCAGAACTACTACAGTATACCAGTACCAGAAAATAGTATACTATGAAATATTATATTTTAAATATAAAAGGTAATTTTACATTTTTGTAATTTGACTTGATTCAATACCTTACTAAGATTTGTGACAATTAAGCAATGTGACAACTTGCCCCGGTATATAATGTGCATACAACATAACTTTCTAATGCAAACCAGATTAAATATGTATACCATACCTTGTCCTCTATCTACAAAGCTGGTGATGGTATTGGCCATCCCAGCCTCGTGCAAGACACTAGTATTGACCTCGCCGCTGGTCAGTGACCAGTACAGGGACAGCATGTAGTCATGGGGCGTCACTAAAGGGTGTTTGGGTTCCTCACTGTCCTCCAGTTTAACTGCGCCTTTCGCTCTCAGATGGGCAGGTGCTGGTGCGATGCTTTTCATCACGCCAGGATTGAGCTGACCGGCCCTGATTGCAGCTGGCGTTTTAGAAACTCCTTTATTGTGTCCCGTTTGGTGCTGGATGCTGGAAGAGGATGAGACTCTCGCCGCATCCTTGGGTACCAAAGAGCGCGCGGCCTCCCTGCGCCCTAAACTCACAGGTACCGAGGCGCGAGCCGGGATAGTCTCGGACTTTATCAGAGGTGGACCAGCCCGGATGCGAGAGATCTTCGCGTTGTCAGAGGGCTTAACGAGCGTCGTCCCGTTGCGCGCCACCGGTAACCGCGGATTGGGTATGACCGCTCCCGTGCCCCTGTGACCGGCCACGCCGGCGAGGGAGAGCGCTTGCGGGATGAAGACCAGGTATAACAGAGTCCAGAAGCCCAGTAAAAGAGGGAGACTAGTCAGAACTTTCATCCTCTGATCTTCCTCTGAGTTTCGGTGATGGAGAAATGACCAACAGCTCTTGGCGAACTACCATGAACGGGGTTGGAGAGGTAAAAATGAAGCTTTGGAAACGTCTGATCGATTACTCTGCGCAAACCATTGCCATGTGCCCCTCTCTTCAGAACCATAGTGATCCAGCTCTGTCGGAGTGGAGATCCAAGAGTAGGTGCAAAAGCGCAGTGTCTCTCGTTGAAGTCCAGCGGTTCTGCTTGATATCTTGTAAGAGACTTGTTTCAAATCCCACTTTTTTCCAAGAGGGAAGGATGGCGTAATGCGCTCTCTCCCTCACTCTCTCTTTCTTTCTCAGAGTTTGAACATCGTCCAGTGAAAACAGCACGCACACACAGAAACTTGCAGGTGCTTAAGTTGTGCGCAAACCTGAGCGCAGGAATTGGAAACGGAATTCCAACGCAAACTGGCTTAATTACTCTCTGATGTCATGCATGCTGTCCAGATTTATTCAAGTGCAATATTTCTTCTTACAGCATGAGTCACTGAATACATAAAACCAAAAGCTTTGCATTAGGTCACCAGAATAAATCCTCAGTTTATGAGCCATAGGTCAGAATTGATATGCAAATGACCATGCACATGACTTGATCAGCAAACCACGAGTTTATGTGCAAATGCTATTCAACTTCATGGATCCTTATTAAAAAATTATAGATTTTGATTTACACTTCAAAAGTTTTATTTAACTGAACGTGATCAAACCGTGTTTTGTCAAGTAACCAAAAAGTCATAAACATTATTTAATATGACAGAATCTGCCGTTGGCTATAGGTTAATCTGTTTTTTTTAAGAATCAGATTGTTGCACGTTTTCACTTTTTTAAAACACTGTAAAACAAAACAAAAAGAAAGAAAATAAATATTAACTTTATATTATATATTGCATATTTAATTATATTAAATGACATTTATAAATGTAATATAGTCTTTTCTGCAGTATAATTAAAATAAATAAGTAAATATTGATTTTGAGTTAGCTACTGTCTGATCAGAGTAATGCACAAGTAGTACATTTTCCATTGAACACTAAAAGATCAAATGAGGTGACTGGATTTAGTTGCCACATCATCTAAATATGATCACACTGGTGTAAGGTCAGAGGTCACAAGACAGATTTTAAGGGATGTAGAAACTGGCAATGCACTCGGTTTCTTCTCAACCTCGACCATACATTGGTATTTGAGAACTGTGGAGAAACAGTTTATTTCCTCAAGTTAAATATATGGACTATTGGTTACGCTATGTCAGACACCCACACCCACACAGACCATTCCAATCCTTTCCGAACATTAAAAAAAAAAACCACACACACACACAAACCCACCTCCGTAGACAAACAGACGAGGGAATGAAGAGTGTTGTGGATTACGCAGGTGAAGCTCAGGATACACACACACACACACACACACACATAAACATGCTCATCCAGGGGTGAAAACCTCAGCGCTGGCCAGTAAACTGCCGCTCATAAGAGTGAACGCAGCACATTTCCAACTGTCCGAGGTGTGTTCAGCGTCTCAGGATGTTTTCAGAAGCACGGAGGACACATGGCCTGTGGTTTACCCCACACCACAGTGGCATGGATCACCAGGAACATTTCTTTTGTGTGAATATACAGTCTAAAGACTAGTGAAAATGCATTTTACATTTTTCTTATTTAATACAAATGTTCTCATTACAAAGCATACAAGTGTATACAGTTAAATATATAGTTGAATTGAAAATAATGGCATGGATTCATCATTTGGATTGTTTATCTTTTACTTTAACTCTCACATTGTGTTCCGGACGTTTTCTTTTTCCTGAAAATGCTTATTAAGTTCATATCAATGAGGCTTACAATCAATCAGTTCCAAAAAAAAGAAATACAAAACCTGTTCTATTTAAAAGAAAACAAGTTTACAAAAAGATCGAACCCAATATATAGTGGTATAATATAGCAAAATGAGGGATTTACAAGCAATTTAAAAGGCTGGGACCCCACCGTACGGCTTTGACCCCCTTCACATTACCCCAAATTGCCATGCTACGCTGGTATCTTTGTGCAGAGAAATGTGCTGTCGAGGTGTTAGTCGTTGCGAAACCACAGACATTTCTCAGGTGCAGTCGTGGACAAACGAAATAAAAGGGGCTCTTGTTCTGGAGGAGTTTTGACATTCTGCTAATAATCATGTGGTCTCAACTCCTGTGCTTGCCTATCAACAAACCCTTTCCCATTCTTTAAAAAAAAGAAAAGATTTCATTCATTTCATCAATGACTTTTCCAGGTAATCACAATTTAAAAGTTCTCTTATATCGACTTCAGGGACCCTATAGGCCTATAATAGCCTATCTATCATGTTTTCACTGCAGCTTGTTCACCTTGTGTTCCTGAAAGGGTTTGGGCCTTCACGACACGTCGTGCTATCGGAATTATTGTGAATATGAGTTGCCTAATCGGAAATTGGTCACGATGAACGCCCTCTCAAGTCGTATTACTACTGGGAAACTCGGAGATAATTTGGGCGGAGGGGAGAAGGATTGCTGCTGTGGTATGCTTTATTAGGTTTTTCTACAACAGCCTTGTTTTGTCAGTAAAGTAGGCCTAGTCCATATTTACATATTTGAATAACCATTTGAAACATATCATGTTATATAGGCCTAGACTGCGAAAATATGTATTCGACCGAAATTCCAGAATTGTCAGAAAGCTGGCTATCTAGATAGCACAATGAATGTGGTTGTCAAAGAATGAGAGACGCTACATTTTATTCAAAGTTAAATATCTTCAATACATTTGGCTTTACAAAGGCAAGAATAAACCCGTTGTCCTTCATGATTTGTGTTCTTTCAGACAGAAAAGATTACGAACTCGTAGTCACGACATCAGGAGTAGGAAATGGGAATTTGTCGATAGCACGTGAAGAATTTAGTTGCTGCCTTGTACATGTTTGCTTCCTGAAAAGTTTTTCACAATAACAGGCTGAAAAAAAGTGCAACATTGCCCTCTTTTGGACAATTCCGGGTAATACGTTTAGAAAAACAAAAAAGATCAAACTATAGGTTACTACATGAGCCGTTGGATTTTAACTTCATTTTCGGTGGGGCTTTAAAAGCTTTTAAAAACTAAATAAAATAATTTATGCAATTTTTAATTTGTTTTATTAATGAAATAGTTTCATTAAAAAGGCGCACAAATCAATAGAAGTATAATAAAAGTGATCTATGTAACTTGTGCAAAATATTTCCAACCATCTGAAGCCTTGTGATTACTTTGTGAGAAACAGACTGGCAGTTTGAATATCCTCTGAATATCCTCAAAAACTACCATGCACAAAATAGGTTGGACTAGGCCTATATTTTTGGTCTGAATTTGTAAATAATGTAAGAATATACCGTTTTTTTAAAGAAAAAAAAAAACTCCTCTAAAAAGGTATTTTTATGATTGATATATTCTTAAAAATAAGCAAACCCATAAAAGATCTCAAAGGACTTTGTAATGTCTAAAACAAATCAGAAGGTGGCAGTAGTTCTGCGCTTTTCAAATGCTCCCCACACCTCTAGACAGGCTACCGAAATCCCATACTTCTCTATAAAGTAGGCTTAAATTGAATACTAGCGTACTGCTTTCTACATACCGTATACAGCCTCCCATGCATGTCAAGCAATATGTATTATGTAATGTGCTAAATTTAGGCCATGCGACCTCACCATCGTGTTAAATTCAGCAGTATCCATGTTTCCTCTCCGAAATAAATGTAGCATTTAAATCTATCTACATATTACAAAAATAAAGAGAAGCATTATTTATCTTTACGAGATTTGCCTGCCTTGCATTTAAGATGCACATGGCACCAACATCCTTGTAAGATGAAATGGTTCAGCCTTTTTCTTTATTTGCTTTTCTTGTTTACTTTTGTTGTCTGACCTCGTTCCTCACCCCAGACAGCAACATAGTCTCGGCCCAGATCCGAGCCACATCTGGTACATGTGGATTCAACGCGTACCAGATGTGAGCCGGATCTGGGCCGACACTATGTTGTGGGTATAGACCAGAAACGGAATATTATCATAACCGCCTCTGAAACACAGGTTGTAATGCAAATTTGGTGTGCATCCTAAGAACATACCGCTATTTTAAAAGACTTTATCAGGTTTGCATTTGCAAAATAGTATAATAAATTGTGTGTGTGTGTGTGTGTGTGTGTGTGTGTGTTATGATTCACAATCTTATAGCTACTTACATTTTAGTGACAACTACCCCTGTTCAGTCCACAGTAAATGTAATGTTTATTTTAAAGAGATCATCACAAACGGTTTCTTTTGCTCCACCTCTTGTGTAAACACACCCAGGCTGTAGTTGAAAGTGAAAAGGCACCATTCATCTTCCAATAGCATTGCGTAATACGTGAGAGTTTGAACACTTTCCAGAACGTTCCACAGACTTGTTTTTCTGATACGCATTCAAATATCTATAGCAGAAAACGTGTGTGTTAATAATGAAATGGTTCCTTGTGCTATGAGGAAGAAAAAAACAACTTCCTTGTCTAGTTGTCCATTCAACACGTGACCGCAGCCGTGCTGGTTTTTCTCAACAGATAAAAGATAAATGGGAAACTCGTCATGGAAACATTAAGATTTGCATATTATTTTCAACGAGCATTAAGATATTTGGTTACACTACAACATCACCAGATATACTAAACCAACTTCCCAATGCAGGTCATGTAATTATATCTGTGTAAAATATAAGTGATTAATCTGCTGTTGTCGACCAAACAGGTTTCAATTGATTTTCCGATATGTCTCAACTATCTGTTTGTACTGAATTTACATCATTTCTCTTGTCTTTTTCAGGTATATAGACTGAAAGTGGGCATGTGTTCAACACACCCTGTCATCAACAATTATAATGCTGCATCATCATATACACACACAGGGCCTAAAACTAACTTTTTGCCACTCCTGCCAATAGCCAGTGAAAATGTACAGGCCATAAACATTTTTACCAGCATGAAACATAAATGGAATCCTTATTCATATTACAAAAGTTATTCAGTCAAGAGCAGCGAGTGATTTTTCTTTGTGTGATTAAAATAAAAAAATTATTAGGCTGCTGTCATTTTAAGAGCTAATGCACGAATCCAATATACTGATACACATGCGTTTTTCTCAACTCTTTACGTTCACATAAGACATGGAACATGTCTGTTCAAGCACAAGACGACGCAAAAGAGAATTCAATTCAGTATTTGAACTGTGAGATGCATATTTCTGGGCGCGCGCTTCGGATGTGTGCATAAAACTTCCAACACAGTGCGTGAGAAACCAATCGAGTTCCCTGGTCGTGTCTTGCGTTTTTGTGGCGATTTTTTGGATTCATAAAAATGTTACTACTGTG